CTATGGTGGCATTTTACACTCTGTGCTGGTGTAACAGGTCACATAAGCTGCAGGGGATCAGGCCCAGGGCCAGCTGCAACAGGAAAGGATAGAACAAACAACAGGGCCAATGCCTGAGAGGCGCTGAGCACTTGCTTCTGCCATGGCTATCAGTTTTCCACTGAGTCTAATTCTGCAAACATGAATAATTTCACGCGTGTGAGTCATTGCATTAAAGCCAGTGGATGCATGTGATGAAAGTTACGTGTTTTAGGGCATGGCTACACTTACACATGTAGAGCGTTTTGAGTTAAGCCAGCCCTCGGAGAGCGCAGCAGGGAAAGCGCTGCCGTGTGGTCACACTGTCAGCTGCAAGTGCAGTGGCATGGCCACGTGTGCGGCACTTGCAGCGGCACTGGGAGCGGTGCCTTATGGGCAGCTATCCCACAGAGCGCCTCTTCCCATTCTGGCGCTGTGGCTTGTGGGAAGGGGGCAAGAGGTCGTGGGGCATTCTGGGTCCTATCCCAACGCCCCGTGATGCATCGCTTCGCCTCCCAGCAATCCCTGTGCTTCCGTCCACGTTTGGCGCCATCTTTCAATGTTTTTTGCACTGCGCTCTGTCTTCCCTTTCGGTCTGCGGGAATGGATCCTGAACTTGTGAGGAATATGCTCATGGGTCTCGCCAGCACGTCACGAATTGCAGTCGAGTTACTCCTTAAGCTGCAAAGTGACAGTGAGGAGTCCGACGACAGGGCTGGTGCAACCACTAGGCGAACTAGGCGGCCACATAGGGCGCCTAGTGGTTGAGGGCGCCTAAAAGCCCGCTCAAGCGAGGAGGTGGAGTGGAGGTGAGCTGGGGCGGGGGTGGGGGGGCGCGGGGAGGGCCGCCCGCAGTAACGGGGGGGGGAGTGCACAGGAGAACCCCTCCCCGCCCCAGATCACCTCCACTCTGCCTCCTCCACTGAGCACACAGCCCCTGTTCTAATTCTCCTCCAATCGGCGCCACAAGCCTGGGAGGGGAGGAGAATTAGAGTGGCACCGGCGTGCTCGGTGGAGGAGGCGGAGCGGAGGTGAGCTGGGGCGGGCTCCTCGGTTAGGGTTAGCTTCCGCGGAGTGGGGGGGCTCCCCTGGCGGCGGGCGGGGTTAGCTGCCATGGAGGGGGGCTCCCCAGGTGTGGCGGATGGCGGCGGGCGGGGTTAGCTGCTGGGGGGGGCTCCTCTTGTGGGAGGGGCAGGGGGCGTGTTTAGCTGCCACGGGGGGCAGGGGGTGGGATTAGCTGGGTGGGGGGGTGGCGCAAGGTGGAAGTTTCGCCTAGGGTGCGAAACTTCCTTGCACCGGCCCCGTCCGACAATAATGTCGACTCATGTAACGCATACGAACGAGCTTGCTTGTGGCATTCACAGACATGCTCACCACAGTGGAATGCCACTTTTGGGCTCGGGAAACAAGCACTGAGTGGTGGGATCACATCGTCATGCAAGTCTGGAATGACGAGCAGTGGCTGCAGAACTTTCGGATGAGGAAAGCCACTTCCATGACTCTGTGTGCTGAGCTTGTCCCCATCCTGCGGCGCAAGGACACAAGATTGAGAGCTGCCCTGCCAGTGGAGAAGCGTGTGGCTATTGCAATCTGGCAACTCCAGACAGCTACCGATTAGTCGCTAACTAGTTTGGAGTGGGAAAGTCGACCATTGGAATCGTGTTGATGCAAGTTTGCAGGGCCATTAATCGTATCCTGCTCAGAAGAACCGTGACTCTGGGCAATGTGCGTGACATTGTGGCTGGCTTTGCACAAATGGGTTTCCCTAACTGCGGCATCAGCCCACCTAGCCTCCGAGTACATAAATCGGAAGGGGTATTTCACTATGGTTCTCAGGCGCTTGTGGGTCACCATGGGCGTTTCGTGGACATTAACACAGGCTGGTCTGGAAAGGTGCATGACGCACGCATCTTTCGGAACACCGGCCTCTTCAGGAAGCTGCAGCCCGGGACTTTTTTCCCAGATGAGAAGATCACCGTAGGGGAAGTCGAAATGCCCATTGTGATCCTTGGAGATCCCGCTTACCCTTTAATGTTGTGGCTCATGAAACCCTACACAGGGAGCCTTGACAGCAGCAAGGAACGGTTCAACAGTCAGTGCAGAATGACTGTGGAGTGTGCCTTTGGCCGTTTAAAGGGCTGCTGGTGCTGTCTGTATGGGAAGCTGGACCTGGCCAATGACAACATCCCCACGGGTATAGCCGCGTGCTGTACCCTCCATAACATTTGTAAAGGGAAGGGTGAAAACTTCACTCAGGCATGGACCACACTGCTTCAACACCTGGAGGCTGAATTTGAACAGCCAGAGAGCAGGGCTATGAGAGGGGCCCAGCAGGGGGCTGCAAGACT